CTGTAGAGCGCTGAGACTGCATCCAACATGACAAACAGCGCGGAGGGCGACGACGACTTGGCAATGTTCTGGAGGCAGCGAAGAGCGGGCGCTGCCAGCTCTACCCGTGTGCCCGAGGTGCTCCCATACTGGAAATATCATGCAAACGCTAGTAGCGCTTCGAGTAGGGGCCCTCGCAGCAGCTGTCTCTGCACGGCCCAAGATGCGGGGGCATCATGGCCGGCCGATGGTTGGGTCACATTGCTAAATGTATAGCCTTTATTTCCAACTATTCCAAAGAGTGTCTCCTTTCCACTGGTTGGGCCCCTCGACGCGCGCACGTGCCTCGATGGCGCCGGGGCGGCGGCGCGTGGCCATCTCAGGGGCGCAGGACCTGAGAAGAGCTCCGAGGGCACCGTCGAGGCTTGCAACAATTTGTTTGGCCGACCTGCAAGCGCGCCGGAAGGCGCCCGGCGACGCCGGGGGCGATGTAGTGGCAGTTTTCCCCTTGTTGGCTAAGCCCGCGCCCGTGGCCCCATGCCCCTTCAAAGATGCGCCTGGGCCAAGCGCTGGCGACCTCGCGGGCGCGCGCGCCATCGGGCAGCTGCGCGCCGAGAGCGCGCCCCGCGGCGAGGCGCCCCCTGTTCGCGCCCCCCCCCCGATGCGCCGACGGCGCGCAGAGCGCCCCCCCCCCCCTGGCGCGCGCCCGCCGCGGCGCCCGCGAGATGCTGCAGGCCGCCCCCGAAAGGCCATTGGCGCTTGTAGCGATGGGGCGACGTCGGGCAAATTTGCGGCGGCTCGCCGATAGTTGCACTGGCGCAGACCAGTCCCGCCGGGCACTGCTCAGGCTCATCTCAAGACAAAAAGATTGCGAGGCGGCAAGCTAGCTGGCGCGTTTAAAGCTGATGGTCCGTTTTTCTATCACAGCGATGCGTCGCTGCTCCAGGACTGGCGCGGGCGTCTTCCAATTGCGCCTTCTCTCGCGCTGGAAGGGCAGCGCGCGTGGGTCGGCGCGCGCGCTGATCGCGCGCCTGCGCGTGATCCGCGGCGCGGGTTCCGGAGTCTGTCGGTTCGGAATGCGATGCAAATCTCCGATGCGTTGAGCGGCCGCGGGGTTTTCATAGATGGCCAGGTCGCGACTGACTTGACGTGGCCTGACTGGGGCAGGGGCACAAGCAGACGATGGGGGGCGCAGCAGGGCGGCCGCCTCGCGGCGGTCGATCTGTGTAACTGCGAATGTCACGATTCACTCCTAGGGCCGGGAAGTCCACAACTGGTCACGCAACGACGTAGCCCAATTGTTTGTATTTGCCCGTAGCCCCCTACCTTGGGCCAGCCAAAAACCGTTTCTCCCGCGGGATCCTCGTGAAATGTGGATGGGGCTCACTGCGCCGTAGCGCGCGTGCACTTCTCACAGCATTACCCTTGGGGGGTCCATGTCTGGACGGGCTGGCCTGGCTGCGTCGCCGAGGACCGGTCCCGGGGCAGCGCGTGCGTCCGCCAGCGAAGCAGGGCAGTCAGCTATGTCGCGGGCGCGCGCGAGGCCATTGAGGGCGCCCCACCAGTCGGTGCTTCCCTGAGGAGGTCGGCGGGGCCGCGGAGCAAGTCCAACGCGCGCGCGCTGATAGGGGCGGCGCGAACTGCCGCGATGAGCACCTGGGAGCTCATTTGTAGCGCATGGCAACGGGGTGGGGCAAGCCTGCCGCCCAGCAGACGTTCGCACTCCGTGCTGATCCACAGGGGGCAGCCGCCCACGCCTGACGTGCTGGCTTGGGTCGCGAGAGTATGATGCCGACCTACGCCCGATGTGCCTTATTGCCGCGACCTGGTCCCCACTGCTTGCGCCAGCGGGTGCGGTCCGTAAGAGATCTGCCCTGCTAACGCCGCGCGCCCGTAGACATCGCCCCTTGCCGCGCGAGGCCCAAGCGAGATCCCCGCGAAGCCCCCGGGGTCCACGGCGAGCGCCTTGGCGATGGCGACCCGCGCAGGCAGCCCCGTCGGTTTGGGTTTGCCTTTCTGACAGGGCCTAGGTAGAATGTCCTTCGCGGTGGCGATTGGGGGCCGGCGCGCGGGAATAGCCGCGCCAGCGGCAGGTGGGCGCGCAGCGCGCTGTGCGATGGATAGATATTCAAGCCATATCCATGGGGCGCCATCCAATGAGGTTCGCTCTCGATCTCCGAGAGCCAGACAGGCCTGTCGGATTGCAGGAGCAACTGCGTTGCAAGAGATCGCACAAGCGCGTCTACACACCCCGTCCCATGATGCGCAGCATGACCGCGCGCATGCCTGAGCGCTACGTTGTGCGCGCTCGCGAAGAATCTGTGCCAAACTGTCCAGTGCTTGGCGGGCGGCGCCGCCCCTGTTGCGCAACCGCCCGGCGACGCGCGAGCCACTTCCATGTTGCTGCTGTGTATACGTATGGGTGCGGTCAAGAGGTCGGGATACTGTAGAGTTCGCGCTGCTGCCCAGACGGGCGCGGGCCCGCATGGGGTGTCTGCGCCGTGCGCTGGACCAGCCGCGTATCCTACCATAGCAAATTCATTGTTAAGAGACTGTGCAACGATGCGCCATGCCAAATGTGAATGTTCCCAGTGTGGCGTCGGTGAATATTTCTCACCGCTGATACTCGTGCGCGGCGTCGTATGTGTGAAGCTCGCTGCGTGTTGTTGCCGTGGGGGAACGAGCGCCAACATGGAACCCGTTCAAGTGAATCCCTGGACGCATTCGTAGCCCATTGTTGTTCCAATGACGTTCTCGTACTCGCGAGGTGAAGAAGAGGGGGGCGGGAAAAACTCCTGACGGGGCCATGCACCTGGAGATCCAGCGCGCATGGAGCTGGGGTGGGAGGGCCAGAAGACTCATGACTCATGCGCATGCGACTGTACATGCGGGACTCCCACAAAACTGCGATACTTAAAAGTTGTTTAGCTCGATGTGAAGTGCAAAATTTTCACGCAAGGCGCGAAACAACAAACTTGACCTTGCGACAGGTGGGACTGGCCTGTCACTGCTAGGTGCGGGAAAGTATGGTGCGGGAAAGTATGGTGTGTCTAGTGCATGCGGCGGTACAAATTGGTCAGATACTGCCACCTGGTCAGCTGGGATTGCGGCGGCTGGCCTGCTGCCCAGAACTCCTTCCTCATGCTCATCGCGCCGAAGCTTGGCGCATGCCTCTCCGGTGGGCTGGCGACGCGGGGGAGCTGATCGAGCTCCCCCGCGCCCTCGGATTTCTGACCTATCTGCCCGCTCCTGCGGCGGTGGCCGCTCTGCTCTGACAGTTGCTGAAAGACTGGCACGTCCTGCGGCTGCTTCCTCCAAGTTGGGTTGCTTGACCTTCGGTCTCTGGTTGACCATGCCCGCTGCTGCTATGGCTGCGTGCTTGACCTCGGTTCGTCCTGCGTGCGGATTTTGGCTACGCCGTATACTGTCATGTGGCAAGTGTTACTGCAGCTCTGTGGCAACTGTTTCTGGCAGCTTTGCCATGGAGGCCAGGGGCTGCTGTCTCTGCTTCTGCAAGGCTGCGAGGACCGCTGCCGCGGCAGTTGCGCTGTCTTGTGCTCCTCCAGAGTGTACTTGCTGATGGACCTGGGCTTCGGGCTGCGCCTGCAGCTGACATGGGGCCGTGGGATGCGCTGCCGCCGCTGCGGACGCTGCCACGGGCCATGAGGGGGCTGCTGCCTCCTCTGGGCGCTGCTGGCTGCCCTTGGGCTTGGGGGCGGCTGGGGCGAAACGCCCGCCCACGGTGGAGCGGGGCGCCGTCCTCATCCTCCGACGAGGAGGGAGCGGGGAGGAGCGGGAGGCGGGATGAGGTGCGACGCGGGGCGCTGTCTCTTCACAAACGACAAACGAGGAACCAACGCCACAAGATGGTTGGGAAAGCTTGCAAACAACATCATGAAACATTGCAACCGGGTCGATCTGTGAGGGCCCTGGCTGTCGAAACCGGGCGCGCACGCCAAGTTCAAGAAAACTGAGACGCCCAGATCTCAAGGGGGACGAACCGCAGCTGTCTCGACTGGCCCTCCTCCGAAAGACGCAGCCGCGGACCGCAATGAACCAGAGGCCATCCAGATGGGTCGGAGCCGATGTGGTCGGAGGATCGCGCCGAATCACCGATGCGTCGCCGCTGCATCGGCGACGTCGGCGATGCATCGGCGACGCCAGCATAGAGGAAATCGGGCTCCTCATCGAGGCGCATCGCCGATGCGTCGCCGATGCGTCGCTGATGCATCCATGGCCCATGTATCGCCGATGTGTCGGCGACTTTGGCAACGCATCGGGGACGTCGACATGGCGGAGATCGGGCCCCGCATCGAGCGCAGCGCTGCGGCGCGATCCTCGGGCTCCAGCTCCTGCGGCAACGCATAGGAGCCTCCAGTGCCATCTCGTTGGCTCTTGGGAACCGACGCTACTCAACGCTAGTCGACGCTCCTCGACGCACATTGACACTACATCGACGCTAATCGACGCAAAGTCGGCGCCATCTCATCGATTGCGAGGCGCTGGTCGACGCAACGGCTGCCATGATTTGCTGCCGAACCCACCTACCACAACCCGACTGGGCGGCCTAGAGCAAATTGCCTGGCGCGCAGGGGCCGCCCAGCGTCGGCGAGGCTGAGGGGCAACAACAGGGGGGATAGGCATAGGGAGGGATGCATCGACCTCGAATGGTCGACACATCGCCCATGCATCGTCGACACACAGTCGATGCAGGCCGCCCCGTGCATCGGCTATGCCTCGTCGATGCATCGCCCTGGTGTCAACGATGCATCGTCGATGCATCAACCGTTCGAGGTCGACGTACACCCTGCGAAATGCTTTAGAAATCATGGGTTAAGAAATTCATGGTCTCAGAACTTGAATAAAAAACCCAGAATGTCTGTTCAAATCTTGGGATTGACATTGAAACATTAAGAATAATCGAGACTCTGGCCGAAAACTTGGGTTTTCTTGAGCATCGCCTAAGGTGTATCCCCCCCCGTTTCGCCTACCCCCCCCCCGATTGTCGCTCCTCCGAGGCCTCACGCCCCCTCGGCCGCGCGGCCGGCGCCGGGGCGGCGGAGGAGATCGCGCGCCACGGCGGGCACGAGGGCCAGGCAGCCCAGATCGGCGAGAGCCGCCTCGCAGCGGGGCGGCCCAAGCAACGCTTCTCGCGGCATCGCTGCAGGTGGCGACAGCCGAAGCCGCGTCGAATCCACGCCCAATCCGCGCCTCGATTCCGCATCGAGCCCGCGCTGGACGCAAGGAAAGGGACCAGCTCCTGAGACGGGCGAGGACGCCCGAACATGCAACGCAACTCGTCCTCTTCCTCCTGCTCTTCTAGGTGGCGAGATCCGAACTCTGCCCCCACCAAGTATCGATTATCCTAAATCGATGGGAGGCGGGGGTTAGCTTCGGACTTCGCTACGTGTTCGACGAATTCCGAACCCCAACCCCCGCCGCTCATCGAGTTGCGCGAATCGTTGATCGGCGAGGGTTGGGTGCGGATTTCGCCACCGAATCTGTTCTTTTTGCGATCGGAAACGCTTTGAAACGAAAACGGTCATTCCGATTGCACTGAAATCCAACGTCGTGTCTGGCGCCACTATCGTAGACCCTGGACGGAGATCAAAACGAAGGCGAAGAGAAAACAGAAACGATCCACGAGAGTGCCAACACAGCGTGATGTGGGTCGCCCCAATTTGTCTCGAGCGCGAAAGATACCCGTACCCTTACCCAGACGGGGTGGCAAGGGGCCCTCGGGGCATCACCCCCCCTGGGTCCGGGTCGGCTCCCGAAACCACCATACATACCCGTACCTAGACGGGGTGACCCAACCACCACCCCAGCTAGGTCCGGGTATGTATGGTTGTTTCGGGCACCGACCCGTACCCAGACGAGGTGGCGGCAAGGCCGAAACCGCTCTAGCGGGCGGCCCTTTTCACCCCAGCTGACCCCGGGTCCGGGTATGTTTTGGGCTAATGAATTTGGATGCGGAAAACATGGGTGCGATGCCCAACAGCACACGTCGTCCAAAGCAGGCAGCGGCCGCTGTCGAGCAGGCGGCCCTCCGCTGCAACCGGAAGGCGACCGCGGCGGCGCCGGCAGGCGGGTCCTGCTCACAGTGGGCAGCAGCTGCTGCCAATCTTGGTGCACTCGCTTTCCGAATACGAAGGGGCCCTGGGACACACAGGTAAATATACACAAATAAGAGGATTCCCCATATTTTCCCATATATATATATATATATATATATATTGGGTTTCTGTCTTCCCCACAGTGACCATATTTCCTATATTTTTTGGGGGATCAGCGATTGTTTGTGTCTGTGTGTTTTTGTCCCCTCCTGAGTTTGGTCGACCCCTGCCGCCTCGCGCCGCCTGGCCCCCCCGGCCAGCTTCGGGCAGGCGGGCGCCGGGTGCGAGCTCACCTTTCTAGAGGCCTCCCACATGGGGGACGGAGCAGCTGGGGTCGGAGGATCGCGCCGCGTCGCCAGCGCCAGCGCAGAGAAAATCGGGCTCCTCATCGAGCCGCACCGCCGATGCGTCGGCGTGCGGCGCGATCCTCTGGCCCCGCCCGCTCCGACCCCATCTGGGAGGCTCGGGGCCTTCGGCTGGCGCTCGGGGAGCCCAGGCGCCGCCTTCGCGGCCTCCAGCAGGGTGCGGCCACGCGGTGGCGCGGCCGCTGCCGCCGCGGCACACACCTCGCAGTGGCCACCGAGGAAGGCGAGCGCCTCGCAGAACCGCGCCGCCGTGAGCCCAGTGCCGGCGCGCACCGGGAGACCGGACGGTGTCCTCCACTCGTCGTAGGTGTGCACGACTCTCGCGGCGGCGCTGACGTTGGAGGAACAACAGCAGCATAGATATATAAACGTTTGACGGTCTGGGTGGATGCCTTGTATCTGCGCTGAAGCCACCTCCCTGGCGCGCAGAGCGCACAGGCGGCGGCGCCAGAGGCGCCGTCAGGAGGGTCAAGCACAGATCCAAGAAATCCGTGCGGACCGTCTAAGGTTTATGTGTATGCAGAATTTTGTTCTTCAAGATGTGGGGCGGAATCTTCGACGTTAGGAACCTCTCAGCATCCTCTGCGCAGCGAATGCTCTTTGCGCCGCACTGCCAGCCGAAGGAGGAGTAGTGGAAGTCCTGGCGAGGTCCGCGGCTCTTGAAGGACGAAGGCCGAGGCGTCGAGGCGGACGAAGGAGGGGAGAACAGCAGACAGGAGGACGGCGAGTCAGCCCACGCAGCAAGCTCCTCCAGCGCCTCCCTGCGCCAGTGCGTCGAGGACAGGCGCCCGATGGCGGGGGCCGAAACCAGATTTTGTCACTCTCATCTTTCCCTTCGGGGATGGACAGACCTCCCTTTAGTAAAACGTGGTTTAGTGAAAACGACTTCGGGCCCAAACCTGGCGGGCGCAAGCCTGGAAGATAACGGCCACGGCGCCCACTCGAAAACCGAAAACGGACAATTCACTAATCGACGTGTCACTATTGGGGGTTCTGTCCACCCCCGATCCCTGTCCCCCCCTGCAGTACGACTGAAGGAAGTACGAGGAAGCACGAGGAGCATCAGGATGAGAACCCCAGACGAGGTGATGAGACCGCTGGGGTCGGACAGCGCGGAGGGGTGGGGCTGCGAAGCGCGAGGCCGGGTGCAGAACTGGCTCCTCGGACGGGGCGATAACCGCAAGAGAACCCCCCGAACACGCAGCGAGGCCGAGAGGCTGTGGGACCGCGATGCGGGCACGAGGGGAGCACTTCCCGAGAGCGGTGGCGGCGATGGCGGCGGGGCGCCCCGCCCGACGTCCTCGAGCACCAGGACCCGGAGCCGTCCGCCAGAGCGCCCGCCGTCGCAGAGGGCCTCTCTTTCCGGGCGCGGAGCGGCTGGACCGATCGACCGATCGGCGAGGGCGACGACAGAGCGCTGCCGGGGCGGGAGGCGACGACGGCGGCAGCGAGGACGGCGTCGTCGACGGCATCGGCGACGAGGCTGCAGCAGCGCGCGGCCGCCAGCGCCGCCGAGGACGAGGCCGACCGGTCGGGGACGCCGGCGGTGAGGGCGAGCAGAGCGGCGGCGACGGCGGCGACGTCGACGATGGCGAGACCTACGCTGCACAAGCAGCGGCCGCCATGGGACCGCTCGGGGGCCTCCCGATGCGGGCCGCGGCCTCGGAATGAGGCGAAGGGCGAAGGAGGCGATCGTCGTCGCCGCCATCGCCGTCGCTGTCGATGTCGCTGTCGCTGTCGTCGTGACGACGACAGCGACAGCGTCGTCGTCGTCGTCGTCGCCAGCGTCTTCCTCGTCGCCTTCGTCGGAAGAAGAAGAAGAAGAAGAAGAAGGGAAGGCGGAGAACGGGTGAGCAGGCGGCGGACGACTAACTAAGGGAAGGGAGGAGAAGGTGGAGGATCGAAGATCAATGCTTTCCCTTGCGGGGAGCTCCAGGGACCTCCGGAGAACACCAAAGGATTCAGGGGAAGGGAGGAAGGGATCGATTGGCGGCGCGTCAAAAGAGGGGCGAGGGAACTTCGAACTAGATTTTGTTGACACTCACAGCTGCTGCTGAGCAAGTTGCACACCAGTCATCGGGGGGCCAAGACTGGACCTGACCAGCCCTGAACCCCGCGGCTGGCAAGAAGGCGGGAGGACTTCCACGACGCACCCTAGGCCCGCCGCCCCTCGCCCACGCTGTTGCGCGCGCCACCAAATCGAGAATCGAGGATGCAGGACACAGAGTCGTCTGGTGTTTGGGAGCTTCTTGCCGTGCCTTCGAAGGCCTCCGGGGACCTCTTGTGATGAGGGGGGCGGAGGAAAAAGAGGACGAGGGAGCAGGGAAAGGTATCGGAGGAGGGGGAGAAGCTCTCCCTGAAAGAGCTCCCCCTTCACATCTCCTCTCTCTCATACTCCTCCTCCTCCTCCTCCTCCTCCTCCTCCTCCTCCTCCTCCTCCTCCTCCTCCTCCGTCGCTCTCTTCCCCACCTCCTCCTCCGTCGCTCTCTTCCCCACCTCCTCCTTAAACTTAAAACGGGCCCTCCTCCTGCGCACCCTCTTCGGACTGCTGCATCTCCTCCTCCCCCTGCTAATTCTGCTGCCGCTGCTCTTCCTCCTCCTCCTACCCTGCAAATTTCTCGGAATGTCCTTGCCGGACGCGGCTGCGCTGCATTCCGCCGCGGGCCCCACGGTGCCTTCAGGAAATCGCCGATGCACTTCAGACGGGTCCCTGGGGAACCGTCCTTGCGGGGGTCGCAACAGTTGGCGGCGCGCACAGGGGGGTACGGGGAGGGGGGAAGGCTTCTTAGAAGGAGGCTGCTTCTTTGAAGGCGCCAGCCCTACCTGTATAGGCAAGGCTCGCGCCTTCTAGGAAGCAGTGGTGTTTCTAAGAAACCTTTCCCCCCTCCCTGTACCACCCTTTGGGCGCCGCCAACTTGCGGAGGGCGCGCAAGGGTGGGCGATGGAGAAACAACGGATGGACTTGCGCGTGAGGGCGCGGATGCCTCACGAGATGACTCACGCATCTGGAGGCCCGGAATGGGTATAGCGAAATCGTAACGACACTCGGCCACAAATGCGAACCAAAACTGACAGCGGCCGCTGTTGGGTAGGCGAATTTCTGGCTCAGATGGACACCGTCCGCGGCGACGCCGACAGCAAATCCGGTTCACACTCGGGGATCTTGTGACCCGGGTCAATCCAGACCCGGGTCAGCCAGGCCTTGCAGGATCCTGCAAGGTCCTGCACCCAAACCCGGGTCAGTGCGCAGGATCCTGCGAGATCCTGCAGGATCCTGCGCCCAAGCCGGGGTCAGTGCGGCCCTGGCCCTGCAGGATCCTGCAGGATCGGGCACCCTGGCCGACCCCCGTCTGCATTGACCCCCGCCTCAAGGCTCCCGACACCTTTTGGCTACACGCAAGAGTGACCCTGGGTAAGAGTGACCTTTGGTGCGCGGCTTTTTGTGGGCCGCGGGGGGACCAAACCTGGGCGCGCAAGCCGCTGCTCCTGCTTCGTTGTCGGCCATCTGGAGACCCGTCTGTGCCCGCACCAAGGGTCACCCCGGCGAAAGATCACTCTTACGTCTCGTCGAACCCTGGACAGGCAGGACCTGCCGGCCCTCGTGCCCGCCCCTGCCGCACGCTTTTTTTGACGAGCGGACAGCAGGCGCCCCGCGCAGCCGCGGGCGCCCGGGAAGGCGCCGATCAGTCCGGCGCCCCTTCCGCACGCACACATCTCGACCGTGCCGAGCGCAGGCCGCTGGCGCGACGCTCCGCGCCGACACACGCAGGGCGCCCGCGCGCGGCCCCTGCTCGCGCGGGCGGCGGCCTGCTCGGCTCGCGGCCACGCGGGCGCTGCCGCTCGGAGGCGGCAAAGGGGGTCGGAGCCGGATGGGCCCCGAAGAACTCGCCATCGCTCGGACGTCCATTCCCTGTGTTTTTGTCGGTTTCGTGCGTGGTTGTTTCGCCAAATGATCAAGGATGCTCCTCGATGGACCTCGCCGAAAGATAAATGCACAAGTCCGAGCGATGCCAAGAGAAATGCGCCGACCCCCCTTCTGGGTCTCTGGGCGTGTGAGATCGTTTTCCCCTCTGCCCCCCCCAGGGACCCCACACCGGGGATCCGACGCCCCCCCCACTGGCACCGGGTGGCCCACCCCTATAGCGATGAGTCGCCAAGCACTCAAGGACCTGGTGCCGGCATCTTGTCCCTCGTCGTCGCTGACGGTGATGGGATCCGAAAGCAGCCTCCGGACGCCGAAAAACATCCAGCGTGAATATTTCGAGGCGCCAGAAGCCTGCGGTCTGCGACGCGCAATCGCCCGCCCCTCCCCGAGTACACACCAGAGCCAAGTCTGGCCGCCAGGCCCGCCCCGGAGCAAGGAAGAGCCTCGGGGGTTTGACGTACCATGCGGGACCTGCTTCAGAACAGGAAGCTGCTTTAGAACAGGGGCACATCGTAGACTGATCTACCCTCTATCCGACATTGTGCTGCGTCGATCGCAACGGCCGGGCTGTCTACAGACGCATCCACCCCGAATCTGTTCTGCATACGTAACGACACTCAATGTGTGCACAGACGGTTGGGCTAGAAAGTGAGAACTGTATTTGGTATAAGTCCCGGATGTTTGGTCTGCTAGAAGCAAGTAAAATTGGCCCACCGATCGAGGGGGGTGCGCATGGTCCGGAGGACAGCGATAGGAGACACAGGGGAGCGATACCTGGTGCTGGGGTTCGGGAAGGCCCCGAGGCACGCGCGCGATGCGGGACATCTCGGAATGCAAAGCAAAGCCCTGCAGCAACATGGCTGACGTTGCGCTGCGATGCGCACCGCTGGCCCCTGGAATAACCTGACGGGCAGCCTTCCTCTCACGCTGCCCCTCTCTGAGCAATCGCCGCTGCCTCCGGCCGCACCGGCCGGGCCAAGAGGCCCCCTTCCCCAGGCCCCCGGGTCGGCGCACAACCGCTTCGGACTGCGCGCCGGCCGGGGCGCGACGGTCGGCGTGCGCTGACGATGCTCGGCTCAGGAACGGAACGGACGCGCATCCGGCAGCCAGCAGGCCCGAAGGCCCTGGGGGCGGCGCGCTGGAGCCGCAGCCCCTCACAGGTTGATGTGCTCGCAGTCCAGGGCACAGGCCGCGACTACGTGCTGATGTAAAAACAAGTCGCTGGCATGGGCGCGAGCATCTTGCTCCAAACCCTTCCAGAGGTCAGAACCTTTTGCCGTGTCCACCTGGTGCTTGGCGCAGGAGTAGTCAGCAGGATGGGCAGCAGAAGCAGGGCACAGCCAAGCTCGGCGTGAGTGTGCTTGCCTCAGGCGGCGCGCCGGAAGGGGTGGCGCGAGAAGGGAGTGGCCTTTTCAGGAGGTCGAAACTTCCAGGAGGCAGGGTGTCTTCCTTCGGGGACGCAGAAGCAGCACGAACACATCAACTGTCGGAGCTCCGCTCGGATTTCCTGGATCTGCGCTGGCTCCCCCTGGCGGCGCTTCTGGCGCCGCCTCTGGCGCGCTCCGAGTGCCAGGGAGGGGAGTCCAGCGCCGATCCAAGAAATCCACGCGGAGCGCCAACAATTTATGATTGCGCAATGTTCTGGTTCTTCGATTCTTAGGCTGCCGCTCAGCGCGCCCCGCCACCAGCTTGAACTCCGCTCAACACCGCCCCCCCTCCAGAAATCCGCCCTGGCAAATCGTCTTTCGGGCCGCATCTGGCCGTGCTGTCGAGGGTGGCCCCCGAATGCCAACACAACCAGGAAGACCCGGGCAAAGAGGAGGAAATAACAAGGCCTGGCGGGGATCCTCCCCCAGAGGTCGCAGGCAGGTCCCTGGAGGCCCCCCTGAACGCATCCAGAGCTTCCCCCCGCAAACATATAGGTATATGTGTATATATATACATCAGTAATAATACTTTTTTTGTATTAATACGATTAGTGATACAAGCACAAATGATAATACGAATAATACGATTATTAATAAGAGTATGAGTAATAATGGAATAACAATAATACTAATAATAGTGGCGAGAACAATAACATAATAACAAACAAGCAAAACAGAACGCCACAGAACCTCGACACTCGACGACGACAATCGCCGTCGGCGCGCCGCTCAGTTGGCTGGCGCCCCTTGCGCCGTCGTTGTCATTTCGGGCGTTCGCTAGTGGAGGGCATCCGCCGGGGGCGAAGAAGCGCGCACCCCTCGCGTGGCCCGCGGTGGCAGTCCAGGTGCAGGTTGAGGGCCCCGTCGAGAAGCTTGAGGAGGAGGAGGAGGAGGAGGAGGAGGAGGAGGAGGAGGAGGAGGAGGAGGAGGAGGAGGGAGGAGGAGGAGGGAGGAGGAGGAGGAGGAGGAGGACGAGGAGGAGGAGGCGGAGGAGGACCCCCCCCCCTCCTCCTGCAATCCTCGATGCCCCTCCCCCCTTCTACTGCCCCCGGCTGCCAAGCACCCAACCGTTGTCGTCTTTGCATGCCGCTTCACTGCTTCGCGGAGGTGTCACTATGGCAGCAATGTGCTGCAAACGGTTGCTTCATCACTCTGCCAGTGCACCCCTGTCGGGCCGGAGGACATGTGGAGATTAGTAAAAAGAGCGGGGGGGGGGGTAGCGCAGGGAATCAGCTCACGTAGCTGTTTCTGCCCAGCGCAGCAAGCGCCAACGTATCAGCGAAAGCGCCCGGCGGCGGGGCCAAGACCAGCCGCACGCAGCAGACCTCGTGACCTGCCTTTCCCTGTGCCCCCTCTCGTCCGCCCGAGACCCTGGCGCGCACGGCGCCACTCTCTCCTTGCCTCCGCCCATGCCCGAAGGTCCTCAGTGCACAACGGCGTCCGCGCCCCGAACTGGAACGGCCTTCGGCGCGGTACGGGAGGAGGGGGGAAGGAGGAGGAAGAGGAGGAGGTGGAGGAAGAGGAAGGGGAGGAGAAGGAGGAGGAGGGGAGGAGGAGGAGGAGGTAGGAGGAGAAGGGAGGAGGAGGAGGGGAGGAGGAGGAGGAGGAGGAGGAGGAGGGGAGGAGGAGGAGGAGGGGGGAAGAGGATAAGAAAGAGGATAAGGAGGAGGAGGAGGAGGAGGACGAGGAGGACGAGGAGAAAGAGGAGGAGGGTGAGGAGGAGGGGAGGAGGGGGAGGGGAGGAGGA